ATCATTACAAACAAGAAGGAACACACACAAACAAAAAGGAAATGATAAGTTAATGTACCAAAAAAAATCATAAATAATTTTAATAGAAGTGGGCATATAACATATATAAATCAATTAATCATAAGACATAGAATCATTCACTCTTCACTATAGTATTGATATCAAACTCTTAGGGAACCTAAACTTGTATGGTGAAACAACTTATCTACCCAAGCTACCGTACAAGGTTAGCCTATAAACTATATTAGGTCAAGGTAAAAGCTCTAGACTATGACCTTCTCCCTTCATCTTCTTCATCAAAAGGTTCCCAATTTGGTGACCATAAATCAATGTGTAGCTATGGAGCTCAATGTAGGCATCTACCATTGCTTGGGGTGCTTTTGCCAACCAAGTGCTCATCTTCCTCTATCAAGGAGAATTTTATAATATTAAAAAGGCGAAGTTGAGTGCGACAAGGCCACCCCATCCCTTCAAAGGCAACTCAGAGTTCTCGGCATATGCTTCTTGAGATGAAGGTTTCTTTCTCTTCATTCCCTTTCCAACCCCAATAGTAGTCGAATGAAGGTCGACTGTAGGACTAGTTACAATGGTAACATAAGGCCTATTGTCATTGTAAAACCCCAAAAAATGGTATTTTAGAAGTGATGGTAGTTTAGAAAATAGTGAGACTCAATTATTTTAATATTAAAGGGTTTATTTATAAATAGTTTTGTTATAAACGAGTTTCATTATTTCAGAACGTACCATCTCTCTAAAACCACTTTTCTAGAGTTCTCTAGCTTCTCTCTAAGAGTTCTGACTCTTGAGTCATCTCTTTGACGATCAGGAGGTATATAATTGATCATGGCAACGATGTCTACTTTTCTAGCCGATCAATTTCTGTCATAGAGCAAGTAAGTTTTGACTTCTTTTTCCTCTCTTGTTCCCAATATATTTTTGGAAGAAGCAAGTGTCGTTGCATGTGTAATCTTGCTTCTTCTACTCATTCTTGGTTAGTCTAAAGTTCTAAGGACTCCGTTCGCTCTTAATTTTGTGTTTCGTAGGTTCATCTAGAAATTCCTTGCGTTTCAAGCAATCGGTGAGACGTCGTTAGAGTTGTGTTGTTCTTTGTGAGGTAAGGGAAGCTAGAACTAGCTTAGATTATGTTTTACGTACGAAAATAGTATTTATGAGAATAATATGATGAATTGGATGCAATTGTGTTAGTAGTGTAGTATTTTCTATGTTTAAATAATGATAATTGGTAGTATGATGTGTATATAATTGTGATAGTGTAAAATTGATGTTATATGTTGTCTTGAATTTTGTGTGATGAAGTTGTATTATTGTTTGAAACTGAATTCAAAGTGGTTATGATGAGAAATGGTTAAATTCTTGAGTTTTAAGCCTAAATAAGCGGGGTTTGCATGTGTGAGTTTGAGAATTTGGGGCTTATGTGAGTAAACTACTGTCTATGTGCTGTCATGAGGTAAATTAAGACTTGTTGGATGTATACTGTGATTGAAATCTGATGTGTAATTAAAAGTTAGTTCATAGTTAAAGTTTTAAAGTGTTTCAGTGTAAAAATGGGGTTTTAAGTGGGAAGATTTTGAAAAAGTGAGTGTAAATTGTTTTGGATAGTTAGAGGTCTGTTATTAGACTTATTAGAACTTATCTAGGTTGTTAAATGAGAAAAATCTAATTTAGAATAGTTAAGGTTATCTTAGGGTGAGTTATTAGGTGTTTTTAGTTCGAATTGGGGTTTTGCAAGATGGAAACTTGAAATAGGTAAGCTGTGAGTAGCGTGTTATATGGTGTGTTGAACCTTGATTATGCAGTTCGGAAATTGATATGGAAGTTAGGAAATGTAGAATTGAGTTTGGGGTAGTTTAGAAAGGTGATTTGGGTTTCAAGGGGTCAATTGAGTTAGAGTGATGTTTTTGGACGTTTCCTCCAATGTTTATAAGGTCCTAGGAACCATTCAAACTTGTGGGGGTAAGTGAGTGAAGTGATCCAAAAAGTGCAAAGTTCTACTGATATTGCTTGAGCACCCAAACAGGACGTTGAGAGCCACCACTCTAGGGGTCAATGGCCAGGGCGCTGAGCGCAAAAAAATAGAAGTTAGGGCGTTAAGCTCTAGCTTCTAGGCGTTGAGCGCCACTGTGCCAATTTTGATTTTTTTTTTAGGTTTTAGAAATATCAAATTTGGATTTTAGGTATAAGTTTTGGACGTTCTTTAGGTCGTTTTTGAGGTTTTGAAACCTTCCGGAGTTGTTGGTGAGGGTTTCAAAGTCGTTTTCCTTACCTAGTGTGAGTATCATATTGCTATGAAGAAAATTGTGTTATATTTTATGACAAGTAACAGAGTGTCTATTTCTTTAACGTATGATCAGTAGTTTATGTATTGACATACTATGTGAATGTAAAGTGATCTCAATGGTTTCAAAGGTATGAAAGAGAGTTCCAAGGAGGAACTTCTTAGTGGTGGTTTTATGTATTATAAGTATGAACATGGGAAGCTCAGTCTTGGAGTTCATCCTAACATTCTAATGGTCATCCATTCTCAAGTAGAGAGAGGTGAAGCATGTCGTGAGAATAGTAGGAGGTTCTAGTCTAGGAGTTTTACCTTGGTCTAAGGCGAGTGATAATTGACTAACCTTGTGTAGTAGCTTGTGGTTAGCTAGTTGTTGCACCAAGGAATTCAAATTTTCATTGCAAAATAAAACTCTCATACTCAAGTCACATCAAATATGGAGGTTTAGTGTACCATATGCGACCGAGATCATCTAAACCAACAATAATGACATTATGTCGACAAAGACATTTAGTCACAGTAACTTGATGATTCCAAGAGGAATCATATCTGTAGGAGCATCTTGTCAGGGGCGTAGCACATCATAACTTTTAGTTGAAGGCATAAATGAGGATCAAACATAATTGATAATGAGATTAAGGCATAGATGATTAGCAAAAATCTTAAACAACTTTAGAAAGGTAACTGCCTAAGTAACCTCCAACTAGATAAAAACTCACGAAACTATTATAAATAACAATTTGGTTCACAAGGTAATTTATTAGGTAATTCACTCTAGCATTATTACTATCTTATTTACGTGCCTGACTTGAGCATCATATTGTCTTTATAGGCATCATCCACTTAAACGTTAGAGACATCTTACTTAATACATCTGAGACTACTAAGACTTGAAGGATAACATATTAGATTGAAAAAAGAACTTTATAAGACATTTATCATGAATCTTTCAATAATATATCTCGACCATTTAAGAAAAAAAAGCATAAACTAAAGACTTAAAAGATAATTCATTTATAAAAATTAACCAATTCATGAGTTTAATAACTTAAGTGATAACTAAATCATATATACTTTTGATACCTATTTAAACAATCTCATTTATTAAACAATTTTGGTTTAAACCCTTTAGTTGTCCCTATTTATGTGTGATTTTTCCATTTTGATCCCCTTCTTATTAAAATCCCCAATTGAGTCCTTAAAAGTGCTAATTTGAATCAATGGAGCCCCTACCGTTAAATTTAGTTAACGAGGTTAAGTTTTTATACAGGTAGGAGGTTGATGTGTCAATTTTTTGAAACGTGACATGCTGATGTGAGAGTAAAGCTAGAGTTCATTGTCCCCTCCACCACCAACGCAAACCCTCACGCCACCGCAAGAAGAAGCCATTATCATAATTCACTCTTAGTGATGATGGCAGCAGCACATAATGGGAAAAAGGACCTGCTTTTGCCTCTTCGTGACTGAAATGTTCACCTCCGGTACACTTAGACAGTAAGTTCCTTAGTTGCCACTACTATCCCGGTAGCTACATTATTTCTGTCTTTATGCATTCTAGATCTTGTATAGTGGGATCGTTTCTTCTTCTTTCTTACTTTCGGTTGTTTTAATTGTGAAATAGGTATAGGCTAAAGCACAAGAGAGTTAACATCAGAGCAGTGAAGCATTTGTGTAGACAGATCTTGAATGGACTTCTCTATCTTCATAGTCACAATCTGCTTATGATCCATAGAGATCTAAAATGTGATAACATATTTGTCAATGTGATAACATCTTCGCTGACCTGCAACACACATGGGATGCAAATCACGAAACTTTTCCCTTCGCCCAAATCGTGAAATCACGAAACAACTCCTCTTTGTAAAACCCGGAGTCGTGCCTCTTTTGCTTTCTACCTTGACCCACTATCAAACCTGAAATCTGAAATAACATCTCCACGATTCACAAAGCTATTTTCCCTATTTACAGAGAGTGCTGAGAATGGAGAAGAATATTGGGATTGGGAATGACGAGAAGATGTAAAAAGGAGAAGAAGATGGCCAAATGCCACGTTTCAACTCTAAACATGCCACGTTTAAAGAAATTAACACGCCATCCTCCCACATGTGTAAAAACTTAACTCCGTTAACTAAATTTAACGGCAGGGACTCAATTGATTCAAATTAACACTTATAAGGACTCAAGTGGGAATTCTCATAAGAAGGGGATCAAAATGGGAAAACCCCACATAAATAGAAACAACTAAAGGGTTTAAACCAACAATTTTATATACATTTATTTTAATTTGCATTTATATATTACTCAATTTTCTTGTTCCACATAATAATATCAGAATTCCAACATTTATATCTCCTAAAGTTTACGACTTAGCTAATTGATGAATAAAATGTGAGTGTAATTTTTTTTTAACTTTAAGAGCTACACGTAAATGAAAAATTATTCATAATGTATTATTTTCAAAATTATGATATGTGACTGAAATTAAAAAAAAAAAAAATTACAAGTGCGAAAAATACAATATTCTTTAAATTTTATTATACATTATAATGTGTAGCCAATAACATTTTCAATTTTAAATAGCCAAAAGATAGGTTTTCTTTTTCTCTTATATTAAATACTTTTATATATTTTGATAAATTGGCAATTGAAGGAATAAACGACACGTCGTTGGGTAAAAGTAATAGTCGTAGACGCAAAGAGCGGTGTGGTGCAAAATAAGAAGCACTTCTGTTGCTCTTCTTCTGTGATTATTCGAAAAACTCTAACGAAAGAGCGAGAAAGAAAGCGAAGAGAGCAATTGCAATGGCGTCGTTTGTTCAATCTATTCTGGATCCAAAGAAGAACTGGTTCGCCGCTCAGCACATGAAATCCCTCGTCAAACGCCTCAGCAAATACGGTTCATTCTTCTTTTCTCTCTTGTCGCTCCAATTTCCGCAACCCTAATAGTGCCGATTTGTGAAAATCGTTTTGGATTTTGTAAATCAGGGCTCCGATACGACGATTTGTACGATCCTTACTACGATCTGGATGTGAAGGAGGCGCTGAATCGGCTCCCGAAGGAGGTGGTGGACGCCCGCCACGCTCGTCTCAAACGCGCCATCGACCTTTCCATGAAGCACGAGTACCTCCCTGACGATCTTCAGGTTTTTGTTCTTCTTATTTTTCGTCTATTTTATTATTATTGCTGTTGAGCTTAGTTTCGAGGTATCCTGTTCTTGTTTCTGTTGACTGGTTCCAATTAATTAGGGTTTTAGAGATGATGGATATGTATGAATCTGTTGCCTACAATGGTACACGAGGGATGTGTATGAATCTATTACTTACTTGGTCTTTCATAGATTTGTTGCTTTTGTTGGGTTTTAGTTACAACCAAGTTGGATGAAAAAGAAAATCATGTGTTGAAATGGCTATGATGTTTTTTTTTATATTGGCAAAATTTTGTTAATTTACAATTGAGCAAGAATATAGACATGACATAGGGGTACGATAGTGTAAAATCTATATACTTATATAGGAATTCACATTTTGGTATGTCTGAATGTTGAATCCTATGCAAGAACAAGATGATCACCATCTCTTATAACATCTATGTCATCGATTTGAGCTCCTTCTGTGGTCAATACTTTGGTCGGAGAACAACCAAACTTTTTAGCACCAATATATAGTATTTCTTCAATAGAATCTGGCAAAAACAGAAGCTTCTTGGCACCTTCACCTTTCTCTGGACAACTAAGTGTTACTCTCATTGTCACTTCCTCTTTAATAGTTTGAATCATTTGAGATGATTTTGGTGAATCTTTTGTTGCTGAAAACAAAATTATAACCCAAATTCAGTATTCTCATTCAACCTAAACTTTAAACTATAAATATAAACAATGAAATTAATTTATGTTTAAGAAGATTTTAGGTGACTTTGTTTGCATATTTTTAGATGAAATGCAAAATTAGGGTTTAGTATTCTTACTAATAATAATTTTTTACATTTTTTTCTTTTTAAAATAACTTTTGTCTCTTTACTTGTATGTTAGTTTTTTTTTCACCTTAATTTAAAGATTATTTATATTATTGAAGATGATTAGAAATAAAATCCAAATTATAATATATACTGATCTAGTAAGAATGAATTAAATTTAAATTTATTTCATAAAGTGATTAAATAAACACTAGCAATAACTAAATTTGTAGCAAATACAAATGTTACGTTTACCCAAATTTGTAGGAGATGAAATTCTAGTAATTGAAAATTGTTAAACTAATTTATTATACTATGTACGCTACACTTATTTGTTAAAGTAGTTTATAAATACAAAATGATAGAAATACACATACTAATTTTAATTTTTTGTTTATAAATAAATCGTTTTAATTATATATTTTACTTTTAATTAATGTATTTTTAATATTTCATATTCAATTTTAATCAATATGGTTTTAGTGTTTAAATTTGAAGAAAAAAAGTAGAATTCATTTTTATTTTAAATTTTGATATATTTAGCTCTTAAATTTTAAAAATAAATAGATATAATTTTTTTAATTTAATACTTTAGGTTGATATTTAAGCTGAAATATATCAAATGATTAAATAACTTAAACGTTTGCTTCAAACAAAGTTTAACATGTCAAGATAAATTAATCTAATTGGATCAAAAAATGATTATAGTTATTTATTTTTAAAATTTGAGACATACACAAATTCTAATTTTATGTCCAAATTTAGAGATTAAAAACATATTTGATTTTAGATTTTTTATTCAACCATTTAAAATTATGTGATGCATGTTTGAAGAAAATTGTTTAACTTTGACCTAAAAGTATTGTTTGAAGAAAAATATTTAACTTTGACCTAAAAATACTGTAATTGTTTAAAAATGATTGGTGCAACATTAATTTATTATAAAGTTGGGTTAATTATCCTAAGGTTTATTGAGTTAGAAAAAGTATGAGAAAGAATTTGAAAGATAAATGCATGTTTACCATAATTTGCAGATGACATGATTCCAAAAAAGGAATTGTGGAAAGGGCTGACCCTTCTTCTTTGATGTTTATCAAACCAGGTGAGTTCTTTATTAGGTGGTTTGTTGGGTTGGAGAATGACTGGTATTGTAGGTTCACTTTGACACCTACCAACAATGGATGAAATAGGAGGAAGAGCATTTGGTTTAATGTTGTGTCCAATTTTCTTAAAAATGTTTAGTATTTCCTCATGACATTGATGTTCTGCTAAGGATCTTGCAGTCAACCCAACATCATCTTGTCTATCAATGTCTGCTCCTAGTTCTATTAGGTACTTCACTATTTCAGTATTTCCCTCACACACTGCAGCATGGAGCAGTGTCGTCAATTTACTATCACATTCTGTCACTTCCCCTTTACGTTGAATAATTTCCTTCACAATTTCTAGGTTGTTTTTCTCAATAGCCAATCGTGCAAAATCAACCACATCATGAGATGTTATTTCTGCACCATTTTCTATAAGAATTCTCGTCACAGTTTCATGTCCACCCTTAATTGCTTCCCACAGTGGTGAATTTCCTTCTAGGTCTGCATAAATAAATGTAGTTAAACACTGCATCAACTAATAGCTCTGAAAAAAGTTCTCACTGATAAAACTAAAAGGTGTGTTTTTTTCTAAGAGGAGAGACGTTTCGGAGATCCGACACTAACGTGTTGTGAATATAAATACACGAAGAATTATTATTTGATACACTTAAATTTTTTATATTTATTTGATATTATTTTACTTACTTTCTACTCTATTCTTTCTTGAAAAAATACAAAACTTTACACTTTTATGACTATTTATCCTTATATACTGTATCAAATGAATGTAAAAATGTGTCATAGTACCATTTCTCTAAATATATATATATATATATGACTAAGATATCATTCTCAATCCAAAATATTTAGATATTAAGTTAATAAATTCTTTTATTTATATATAATAGTTATCTTTCTTTTTTAAATATGAGTTTCTCTGTATTAAAATGTCTTAATGTATTTTTTTAAGAGGAAAGATATTAGAAAATTCAATATCGATAAATTGTGAATAAGTTTATATAAAAGACTATGATATTATTTTCTATTAAAACCTTATAATAATGTGTTTATAGGTTTTTCTACTTATAGTTTTTTTCTAATTTATTGTGTAATTTTCAGATTATTTGAATCTTAACAATATAATCATTTAGCTTTGTAGGATAAAGTAATTAATGTCATGTGTTAAGGAAAGTGAGAAGTATTATCATTTGATGATTTATAATAAGGAAAAACTAACTTTACATTCTTTAGCAGTCCAAAGATGAATGCTTATGTGACTTTTGTTTTTCTTCTTTTAGCATTCATGTGTTAGAAGTTGTTGACTAATAACATTGATCATTTGAAAGCTAGAATTTTTTCCTTTTAGTATATAGTGATTGAGTTTGAGAAAAAGTGTGTACCTTTGATGTTGGGATTTGCTCCATGTTCCACAAGTACAAGTACACAGTGGTCATTTCCTTTGCAAGCTGCAATATGCTGTTACATGTGAAAGCAAAGTTGTAAGAGTCCAATATAGTAGTAGGTTTAAACATATGTGTATGTGTTCATATTAGAGGAAATCATATTTTCTAACCAATGCTGTCTTTCCATTCTTGTCCGGTTCGTTTGGATCTGAACCCTTCTTTAACAATTGATTCAACATAATATCATCACCTCTACTAGCTGCAAACAATAAACTAATTGGCAAATCCATTTTTCCCCTAGCCAACATTCCTTCTGCTTCTGCCAAAATTTCTTCCATAATTGGACCCCCAATTTCATGTAAATGCTGCACTAAGAAATTAAACATGTCAAAATAATATTCACAATCTCCTACATATATAGGAATCCAATATTTCTCGGCTCTTAAACATGATTTTGATTCTAATCAAATTTATAAAATTTCAATTCAACAAAAACGAAATATGTTTATGTTTAAGTAAGATAAATTATTAAAAGAGAATTTTAAACCTAACTCAATTTTACAAAAACAATTTTTAAGGTAAAATTTAAAAAATAACAAATTTTACTAATATATATATATATGTTAGGACATAGATTTTAAATCTGATTTAATTTTACAAAATTAATTTATAAGGTGGAATTTGCACTCCTTTATATATTATAAATTAGATTTTACTTTATTATAAATGGATTTTATTTTTAGCATGTAAGACTTCCAACAAAAACAAATTATACATTATATTGTAAATTATCACATCAACAAAATATTTTCTTGAATTCTTTTCTAAATTTATATTCTCTTGTGATATTTTAAGATATATGTAGGGAAGCCTTAACAAATAAATATGTCAAATGGCCAATTATTGAAATACAAGTGTATTCTTACTTAAAACTCACTGTGATGTGCTAAAAATTTTAAAATATTAGATAATAAAGTTGGAATTTAATAGATTAACTCTGCCTCCACTGAAAACAGAAACATTTTAATAGTTTGATTTATATAGTCTATATTATTAAAATAAAACCAAAATGAATGTATGCATACCAAACATCATGAAATCCTAAAACTAAAACCCTAAACACTAAACTTTAAAACTAAACAATACTAAGTAGAAGTAAAAAGAAAAGTTTCATAAAAGCTATTGCATACTTGAAGAAAATTGTTTATGATCATTGTTCCATCTCCAACATTTGAACGAGTAAGATTTATAAATGTGGTTCGATTCAAACGTAAGATTTGGCTCAATCGCTTGGTTCGGACTGTGAACAATTGTGGCCTATAACACAAGACTCCTATTTCACCAACTACATCTCCTTGCCTTACTTCTCCAACAATCTGGTATAATCAGACACATGTTTTGTTAGTCATAGAATAATTTTTTTTTTTCGTGAAATCAATCTCATGACATCATATGAAAGAAAACAATCAAAATAAACAAACTTACCTGTTCTAATCCATTATTTTGAATGATAAGATCCTGTTGTAATGAAAACATGAAAGTTAGCTTGTCATGTTTCTCTTTGAATTAAGTTATTAAATAGATAATGGACATGCCAGAAATTACCTACATTAAAAGGTTAATCATGTATTTTTTTTTTTTGGAATAATCTCAATTGCAATTTTGATTTGTTAGATATGATATGATTGTAATAATATTTTTCTATTCTGTTTATCTTTTTTTTTTTGTTTTACTCATATCATAAAAAGTTTGGAAATCTTAAA